ATATACTGTCTTGGAAAATCTACTGTAGGGTCAGCCATGAGTAGGTTCTGACTCTCCAACAATGTGTTTGAGGTTTTGAGTCGTTTGCACACATGGTAGAATGTGACTCCTCTCACCCACTGAATTTTCGTGGGGCCATATAACTAGTTCTGGACATTGAGTTTTGACCCACAGTGAATGGTGTCTCTCCCGAGTGGATGGTCCCAGTCTCACTAGGCAGTCTTCTCTTTCTCTTTGGTACTGGGGGTGACTGTTCTGTAAAGCGGATCTCTGTGTGTGGTTTCCACAAGTCACTTCCCTCCAAAGCCATGAGGAAGAGACAAGCTCTGATGCAGGACATTTCTTTGAAATGAAGATGGTAATTGACATGTTCTCTGATGAGCTGTGACATGAGTTCTCGAAGAGCCTTATCACAGAAGCTATTTAGAAAAGATTTGTTTGATCTCACTCTATAGGTAAAAACGGTATTTGACACTTGTTGTTGTTGTTTGATGCAGTCGAGTCGTAGACGACTCCTAGCGACCCTATGAACGAATGGCCTGAGCACTGTTCGTACATAGAGTTTCCGGAGGCAAGCCATTTCGGAAGTGGATGCGGCTCCTGCTTCCAGGCTTGATTTAGTCGGGAAGTTCCGGCCGACACTGTCCACCATGGGTACTCGTACCACGATTGGCACATCACTGTCACAGTCTTCAGCATCACAGCAACCATGAGTTACCTCTGTACAGCAACGTACAGACCAGTGCTATACCACCTAGCTGATTTAAAGGATGATGTGATGCTCGTATAAGAGTTTATGGCCAGTGTTGGTAGTGAGGGAAGAATTTATGACCAGAACTTAAGAGAGTCAGTAAGATTGTGTTTTTAATATTTTTAATTTTGGAACTATTACTTTTTTTTGAACTATTAATATTTTTCTGTGTGTGTTTTCTGTTTTGGTTGAGGCTTGGTTGTGCTCTGTTACTTGCAGTTGGGTGTGAGATGATTGGATTTGGCCGCTTGGTTTTTTTTAGGTGTGTCAAATGCGATAATGGTTACCCATGGTGGACAATGCTTGGTGGAGCTCCCAGATTAGAACAGGCTTGGAAGCAGAAATGGCATCTACTTCAGAAACAGCTTGCCTCTGGAAAGTCTATGAATTTAGAGAAATGATGAAAGTTATACAAGTGTTCAGGTCTTTCGTTCAAAGGGTCCCTGTGAGTTGTCTAACATTTGATGACACTTAACAACATTAATATTTTTACTGAATCAGTTTGAAATTTTAAATTTAAATAGTTTTAAAACATTCAGTGTGGATCTGTTTTTAAAAGAGGCCCTTTAGAGTAGTGAGAGAAGATCTTCACCCTGAAACCCACAGCGTCCCTTTTCAGCAGGAAGTAGCTAAGAGAATACGCCGTCCCCTTTTCCTTATGACTCAGGGTGAAGTCTCTCTCAGGGAGGAGTGATAGGGAATGGCAAAGGACACACTGACAAAGAAGATTAATCAGAACTGGCTTTGACAAGCACTGTGGCATTTGGACAAGAACAAACTGGGAGGAGGGTAGAGAGAATAGTGCAACAATGAATGAGTGGAAGCCCAAAATCTCTGTAAATGTTTATGAAAATTAATAAAATATAATTATAGAAAAAAAATAAAAGAGGAGTGGTAACATTGATTACATTCTTTTTTTTTTTTTGACGTTCTATTCTTCTGTGAGTCTGGAGACTTAGGTGCTCCTGATCCAGGCCATAGTCTTTGCAATTACTTGCTATGCATCAGAGAACTAGACAATGAATGACTAAGGATGATTGAAGGAGAATTGATGCCTTTGAGCTGTGGTGCTGGAGAAGAGTATTAAATATATCATGGACAGCTAAAAGAACAAACAGTTGTCCTGGAGAGGGTGAAACCAGGCTGCCCCTTGGTGAAAGGCAAGGATTCTGAAGGTTTGTCTGATCTACTTTGGACATGTTGCAAAGAGGGACCAGTCCTTGGAGAGAGACGTCATGCTTGGGAGGGTAGAGGGACAGTGGAAGAGAGGAAGACCTTACATGAGATGGATTGATTCAGTGACTGGGATAATAGGGGTTGGTGTGTCAGAGTAGTAAAATTGGCACAGGATAGAGCAGGGTTTAGGGCTATTGTACATAGGGTCGCTATGAGTCACAGGTGACTCGAGGACTCATAACAGCTCTTGAGTGAAGAGCTAGGCTTTATAATTAAAGCCTGTTTTGTTTTGAGCGTGCCTTGAAAGGCACATGTTGCCACCTTGTGGCCAAAACAAAGCAAAATCCCAAACCTGTCTGAATTCATGGACCAAGGTGAAAAGTTTAATCTGCAAACAAAACATGAAACATCATCTGAGATTTACCAGTGAAATACCTATAGTCTCTTGAAGGGCACCTAGGATTTTTGTAGAAACAGATTTTAATTTATAGCTGAATGAATCAGACGGGAACAGTTTGTGGTGCTGGGTTGACCGCAAGGCTGCAGTAGTCTTACTGTTCGGCTGCAGGCTTTGTAGCCATCCTGATGGCCCTCTATGACCTGGTCAGGGTCTGACCTACAGTTAGCCCACAGATTTTGGCCTTATTTATTCCTTTAGTTTTATATTTAAAGTTAAGCCTAAGGTTGACTGTTACATTCTTTCAATCTTGATATTTAAATCAGACAATTTCTTTTCATTATATAACATTTTTATTTTCACTTATTTTATCAAAAGTTTACAGAAAAGTTAGATTTTCATTCATTGTTGCACATTTTTTATCCCCTCCTTCCCTTCTCCCTCCTCCAGTTCACCTTTTTTTTTTAAAAAGTCATTCATTATGGAATAAATTGGATGATTTCTAACAGTCAAAATTTACAGCATCAGCAACAAAATAGAATATTGTTAAAGACTAGATGTGTACCCCAGATACAAGAGCCCCACTGGTACAATGATTAAAGGTTGTTGGGGTGAACCTCCCAGGTGCTCAATGGGAGAGAGATGAGGCAGTCAGCTTGACAAAGATAACAGCCTTGAACACCCACTAGGTACTTCTGTTCAGGTCTGTGGCATCACTGTGAGTCGGAATAGATGGAACAGAAAGAATCTGTTTTGTTTTTAAATCCCACATAGATCTTACATTTGTTGAAGGTCTAGATATTGCCTTCCCTATTCCAATATTTAAATTAGAGCTATCTCTTTTGAAATTTGGGTGTTTCACAATCAGGAATGTGACATACCATTACAGGTGTTGACTCTGAACATAGGTGACATGTTCCTAGATGCGTGGCTCACAGTCACTGTCTTTGTTGGGGATTGCTTTTTTATGACTATAGAAACATAAACCAGTATGAAATTAAAAAATATTTAGTAATAAAAACCCACATCAGTCATATTGTTTCTATAAATGTTTTATAATGAAAATTGAATGTGATGAAATATTAAAAATACCATTCATTAAATATTCAAAAGTTCAGTCTTTGGAACTCGTCAGACCTCTCTCCATTTGACTGCTGGCTTAAAGAAGCTGTTTAGAAATTCTGAATTATGAAATGAGAATGCTGGGGGAGGGGGCTGGAGAGAGTGAAAATAGCTGGGATGGTGGCTGTGCAGTTATTTTTTCCCCCCCGCACCATCAGCCGTTTTTAGCTGCAGGCCTTTCCATTAGAGTAGCAGAAATAAAATGGCATTTTACAGAAGCTCCATTACACCTCTAACTCCTGGCAGTGTGCCAGCCCACATAATAGTGTGGCTTGTGTAAAAATGATACCTGGGATGGGTGCTGCGTTTTCAGCAGTGTTCCGTCTGACTGCCAGGGAAATGGTCTTTTGTGTTCAGTGCAGCCCTCTGGGACTCTCAGTTTGTAAGGCTCGAGCAGCCACCTCCACCAGCTAATCCATCGCCATTTGTCCTGGCCACGGGGGTTTTTTGAAGGGGAAGGACAGGTGTGGTTTGCCTTCTCCTCTTCACTCTCTCTTTTCCCAGAGGAGGGTAGGAGGCATGCTACAGAGCCACTTCGATTTCTTGTTCTCTGCTTTAGGGTGATTTCATGGTTGGTCCCCCTAATGTGAACTTCCCTCTTTCAGTCTCCCTGTATTCCATCCCCAGGGTATGCCTCTGTGCTCTGAATGTTCACCTACAACAAACTCATTGCCATTGAGTCAGAATCAACTTGTAGCTGACCCTTCAGCAAGTTTCCGGAGGCTGTAAATGGCACAGAAGGAGATTGTCCATCTTTCTCCCTCAGAGCTCCTGGTGGATTCAGACTGAAAGAGGCACTGCATTTGGGTTAGCACCTGAACTCCCCACGGACTGTGACACCAACGATATTTATCATAAAGAAACAAATCCAGAACACCTGCCCATTGTCCAGAGCCCCCCAAAGCGATGGGAGAGAATCAAGGATGGGATTTTATTTGTACGGAGCCCAATGGCAAGTAGCTTAAGTAGACTGTTAACCTAAAAGGCTAGGAGTTGGCACCCACCAGCTGCTCTGCAGGAAACAGACGAGCAATCTCCTCCCAAGACCTGAAGCCTCAGAAACCAGATGGAGGATCAGTCACAGTGGGTTGCACTCAATTCCATGGCAGTGGACATGGTTTTGTGTCTTTACACATTACTGTAAAGGAGCCCTGGTGGTACACTGGTTAAATATTCAGGTGCCAACTGAATGCTCCTCAGTTTGAACCTACTGGTCACTCCTTGGGAAAAAAATGTAGCAGTTTGCTTCCATAAAGATTACAACCATGGCACTCCTCTGAGGCACACCCCCACAGAGCCATGTTTTCAGGTTTGAAAACATGTGGACTGAGAAATAATAAAAGCACCACACTTGGGCATTTACTAAGTGCTAGACACTGTTCTAGGGATTATATATATGAAGAGGTTTAGTCACACAGCAGCCTAATGAAATGAGTTATATTATCACCCTCATTTTACAGATGAGACAGGCTGGAAGTGCTCCGGTGTCCAGGGCTCTCGTTGCCCCCTAGCCCAGCCTCTCCTCACTGCAGATGGTTCATAGATAGAGCGAGGATGGGCAGTGGGGAAGACAAGGACGAGAGGAGAAGTGATAGAGCCGTAGCTGCCCTCCTGGGCACAGTGAACTATTATCGAGCAGCTGTCTGGAGTGAGTCCCCCAGACTCTCATGGTGGGGGAGGGCAGCTGGGAAGTCAGAGCTGCTTTGGTGACATTGGACAGTGCTTGTCTTCTCTCATCCCGTGGAGTTGTCCAGAGGCTATGTGAGGGGTGCCATTGCAGCACTGTAGGAGCAGATGGGAGAACCAGCCATCTTTTCTTCAGCCAGATAGTAAAATGATTTGCAGAAATGGAAAATATTGCCTCTCTTCTCACTAAACTTATTTTGGGAAAATAGAGTGACTTAACATAAAAAATATTTGTGGTGACATGTAATGGGTTAGTGGGTTTTTTTTTTTTAAAAAAAAGGTAAATAGTACTCTATCTCTTGATTTTAGTTTCCAGTTCAGTAAGTACTGATAGATAACCACCCACATAAATTAAAGACCACTACATTTGTGAGCTACCCTTCTGGACAGTGCATTTTGGCAGGAGTGTAGGAAGGCAGAATGACAAGGTTCCTTGGCTTTTATAGTCAAGAAGCAGAGGACTGGGCCCCGGTTGTTGAGTTGCTCTTGGCTTGCATGTGTATTTATTTGTGCAAATGACTGGTGAATATGCCACCAGTTAAAAAGGCAGCTTTGTGCTGACATTTCTTCACTTCCAAAAGGGGGTCTTTGCCAGTCTCTCATTTAGGATTTTACCTGTGTGCTTGCAGCTTCTGGCTGGGGACCCATCTAAGAGATGTCAGGTGATCCATCATGTAGCAGTTGTTACAGAACAGTAACGCAGTATTATCATACCATGGGGTGGTAGACAGTGGCTGTGAGGATCTCTCTGACTCAAGGACATCCCTTGTTTAACAGGGCATCTCCACAATCATTGGTATGTTAGAGACCAGTGCTTTGACTGTTGGGTCAGTCTATCTTGTGGAAGATTTCCCTTGTTTTCACTGGCCCTCCACTTCACTGAACATGAATCACTTTTCTATCAATCGGTCTTTTCTTGTGACACCTCTAAAAGTAAGCAAGTTGAACAAAGTCTTGCCATCCCTACTTCTAAGGAACATCATGTATTCCATCATGTCATGATAAACTGTATTGAAGAAGATGGGCATATGTATGTTTTGTATTAGATGCTTCAGGATTGACTTGTGCTTCTGGAAATTAGACACTATATATGCTTGCAAAAGAGAAGTCCTCATCATTCCTTTTAGTCTTTCCAGATCTGTATCATTAAGTATCCTGACGTTAGAGTGTGAGCTGTGAAAATCCAAAAACAATGCAAAGGTCTGAGCTGTGAGCCAGAGCCCAGAGAGTAGTGGAGATGGAGACAAGGGGAGGGGGAAGGACAGGTAGGATCTGTGTTTAGTGTCCAGGAGGGTCCAGGCACAGATCCCTGTGAGCAGAGCCCCAGACAAAGCAAAGTGGACAGGAACCAGACACTTATTTTATCAGAGCAGCTGTTTTTACCTTGAAATCTAGATAGCAGTTTTAGCACCCATTGGGCAAGGGGGAAAATCACTTTTCCAGTGATGTATGCTCTCTCAAGGCAAGTGGTGGTGTTCCTGGACTTTAAGTGAGGAAATTGAGACTAAGAGATCAATGAAGTTGCTCAAGGTCACACTAATAATAGAGGAAAGCTGGAATTGGATGCTTGGTTGGCCTGATTCCAGCTCTCAGTGCTTTAAATCAGGTTCTGTTTTTAGCACTTTACGTTTGATTTTATATTATATCTCCTTATGCTTGTAATTTTACATACAAAATACTTCCTTTGAACTATTGTTGTCAATTTTTGTAATGTAAAAAATTTAAACAAGACGAGAGTATCTTTTATCATTAATTCAAGGGCAGTGCATTTCTGTGGACGAATGGTTTGCGCTTGTCTGTAGCTATCAACCCTTTTTGCTTTCTCTTGATTTCTAGAGCAGCTTACTTCTTATTTCTGGTTACTTCATAGACACAAATAATCTATACTACTGACTTTAACATTTCATCTCATTTGAGACTAAATTTTGCAACGGGAAATACAAAACTAATAAGTTTTAGGATGCTCTGGTGGCCAGGTGGGTAAGGAGTTGTGGTGCCAACTCAAAGGCAGGTAGGTGATTTGAATGCACTCACTGCACCATGAGGGAAAAACGAGCAGTCTCTTCCTGAATAATTTACAGCCTCTAAAAACCTTGCTTGAGGGTGAGCTGTGAGTTGATCCTCACTTGATGGTATACAACAGCAACTATGAGAGTTTTATTTTACTAATACAAATGGACAGTTTTCTTTAAGCCTTAAAAATAATTAGGAGTTGGAATAATTATCCTAACCCTGTCTCTGTGTTTTTTTTTTCTTTCCTCCCCAACACAGTTAACAAGCACAAGCCGTGGCTGGAGCCCACCTATCATGGCATCATCACAGAGAATGATAACACCGTCCTCCTGGACCCTCCCCTGATCGCCCTGGATAAAGATGCGCCTCTTCGCTTTGCAGGTACAGACATGGTCTTTGTTCACCTCTAATAAATTTGGGCTAGATGAGAAGCCCTTCCTACACCCCATTTGTATCATTACTGAATCTTTTCTGAAATGTCTTGATAGCAAAGTGTTGTCTATGGATCCTGTGTGCCAGGGTTTTTTTCCTTTTAATAATTGTAATAGCTGGCCAGAAATCTGGTTCCTAGAGCTAAGAAACAACATGAAACTGCCTCTTTATATGCTTTGTCTTGATGGAGCCAGGTAGCTGCCACCCTGATCAGTGTGTCATGAACTTGAATGTGTGCACAGAGCACTGGTTTCAGTGCACTTCAGTCACTAGGTCTGGGGGAACCCAAGACTGTGCATTTTCTAACCAGCTTCCAGGTGTTGCTGATGGTCTTGGTCTGCTTACACAGAGAGGATCTAGATGACTGCAGCTCAAGATTTCACTGGCATTACCTTGATTTTAGGGCGCTCTGGTGGCCTGGTGGTAAGGAGTTGTGCTGCCAACCCAAAGGCACGCAGTTTGAATCCACCAGCTGCTCTGTAGGAGAGAGATGAGCAGGCTAATTAACTGCCTTTGAAAATCCCCGGGAGGATCAACTATGAGTTAGTTCTGTCCTGATTATATATAATTAACTACAGCTTAGACATTTAGGAACCCCAGTGGTGCTGGAGGTGAAGCATTGGGCTCCTAACCAAAAGGCTGGCCATTTAAATCCACCAGTTGTTCTACAAGGGAGAGATGATCAGTCTGTTCCTGTAAAGACTTAACAGCCTCAAAAAGCTGATGGGCAGTATTCCCTGTCTGGTAGGGTTCTTGGTCAGAACTGACTGTGTGTTGTAGTGGGTTTTTCAAGAGGCTCCCTAGACTTCAGGTACCTAAAAGACTTTTGAAAACAATGAGCAGCCTTTATGGAGGAATCCTTTTAGCTTAGGTTTCACTTCTAATACATTTTTAATGTGTTACTTCATAAAATTTTAATACTGCAGTCTTTCATAGAGTCAAGTCTAAAGATTGCTTTTGAGGTTTTTCATAATATAGTATCCTTCTACTTTGCTAAAATATAACAGCAACTTCCAGATGAGAGCGGGTTTTTAATCCACATTAGATGTCCGAATTTGTTTCCTTAACTGATGAGGGCACTAGTGACTTAACTCTTTCTTTACCTCAGAATTGGAATTGACATTATAAAATGAAGCGGTTTTTGCATGTTAGTTTTCACAGTATAAAATTTCCCCATTAAAAGGAGTATGCTTTGTTTGACAAATTAGAAGAGTTGTACTTGACTTGATGGCACCTAATAACAACAACAAAAATACTAGTAATATCATTTATTACTCTTACTAAAGAGCACTGGTGCCATAGTATAAGTCTGGCTGCTAACTGAAGAGTTAGCACTTCAAACCCACTTGCTGCCCCTTGGGTGATAATCTGCTTCCGTAAAGATTTACAGCCTCACAATCCCAGTGCAAGGGTCCCTGCAAATCATCATTGACTTGCTGGTTTGGTTTGACTTTTTGTTAGTTTTCCTGTAAACAGTTAAGGGACTGGAACATGGAGTTGTTTTGGAGAAGTTATTTTAAAAATTTGGCTTCATTCCATTTGTCATAGCATATTTCAGAAAAGTAACCTGAAAAATGAACTTGTGCTGTTTAGGTCAGTGATGGAGACAGACCTTTTTAATTTGTTTTATTTACTGATTTTTAGAGAACCGTCCCAGTGGATAGACATTAGAGGAAGTGCGTTGAGCCACTTTGTGCTGAATATACTCATGTGGTTTGTTCAGTAGTTGAGGTGATAAGTGGTTTTCTCCCAGATTTAAAAATCACTTTTCATGTTGCATATTGATTTGCTCTGTCCTACCCAGATTTTTTTAGTGTTTGTGTGTGACCGTGTATATACACACACACACACACACACACACACGCGCGCGCGCGCGTATACACACATATCCTCCAAACACATCATCTTTGCTTATTGTTTAGTTTCTCATGAATGTGAAAAGCCTTGGTTGGCACTATGGGTAAAAGCATTGATCTACTAGCCAAAAGCTCGATGGTTTGAAGCCACTAGCAGCTCTGAGGGACGAAGATGAGACACTGTGCTTCTTTAAAGATTTACAGCCTTGGAAACTCTAGGCAGTTCTGCTTTGCCTTTCTACTTAGATGTAACTTGAAATCAACGTGATGTGAATGGATGTAGGTTTTTTATGAATGTGATAATGAAGGCTGTATAAATACTTTTAGGAGGTCCCTGGTGGCCTTGTGGTAAGAAGTTGCACTATAGTTCCAAAGACTTGTAGTTCAAATCCACTAGCTGCTCCATGGGGGGAGGATGAGCAGTCTCCTCCCCTGCAATTTGCGGCCTTTCAAAGCCTGCTGGAGGGTCAGTTCTGACTCAGCGACACAGCAACAACAACTGCACAATGGTGGCCTAGTCAGGAGCTCTAGTGGCCTCCTAGGGAGCTCTGGTGACCTTAGTGGGAAGGAATTGCTCTGTCAGCATGAAGGCATGTGGTTTGAATCCACCAGCACTCCATAAGAGAAAGATGGCCAGGCAACCCCTGTATGATTTACTGCTTCTGAAAACCCACTGGAGCTTCAGCTATGAGTTGGTCCTAACTTTCAGTACACAACAGCAGTGGCTGGTGGTAAGAAGTTGCTCTGTAAGTCCAGTGACATGTGATTCAAATCCACCAGCTGCTCCATGGGAGAAGGATGAGCAGTCTTCTCTGCAGTTTACTGCTTCTAAAAACCCACAGGAGGGTCAGTGATGGGTCAGTTCCAACTTGATCGTATGCAAGAACAAACAAGAAATACTTTTAAAGGATTATTTAGCTTATATTTTTAAGTGGACATATTTAAGTTTCTGACATTTCATGCATTTTCAGGAGTATTTGCAATTAAGATGTATTTGTTCCTTAAGACATTTCTTCACCTTGTAAAGTGTCAGCTGTACATGGTCCCACAGTATCTGTGGAATATGGTCTTATGATATTAAGGAGCCCTGGTAGCACAACCAGCAAAAAGGTTGATGGTTCAAACCCACCCAGGGGCTCTGCAGGAAGACTTGGCCATCTACTTCCATTAAGATTACAACCTTAGAAACCCAGTGGGACAGTTCTACTCTGTCCTGTAGGGTCTCTTCGAGTTGGAATTGACTCAGTGGCACATAATATCTACTATATTAGTAATTGTACGAAACATTCAGAAGTATTAACAGTGTTGCAGACATTATTCCAAGTGCCTCACCGTTTTCATTTAATGATCCTAACAACCCCAGTAGATAAGTAACTCTTTGTGTCCACCTCCATCTTTTTTTTTTTCTCGCTTCTTGAAAATAATTTTACATGAATGGCACTCACAACACGGTTTATCAATCAGGGCATGGTGAGCACAAGTGGTACAGTAATTCACAGGCTTGATCTGCCAGGAATCACTAGCATCCAACCAGAGGATGACAGTTCAGTTTAGTTTCCAGCTATTCCCACCGAAGTTTTACATGATGTTATGTCCAAGAACTTCAATGCGGTCAGGCTCTTTTTACAGAACAAACAGTAATGTACAATTTGTGAAGACATTTTATTGGCCTTTTGGGTAGAAACGGGAATTTATTTGCCAGGAAGGATGATCCCATCATACTTCTGCTGGAACCAGCGCATGGCTTCTTTGCTGATTCTGTGTTTGGCCCCAATGCAGCCTGTCCTGTGCTTCTTGTCTGCAATGCTGAAACCTGGCCTACCCAGCACCACATAGAAGTCTAGGCGGTAGATACCGATACTGGGGTCATATTTGATCCCAAGATCAATGTGCTCCTGGATCCCAAAACCAAAGTTTCCAGTATCTGAGAAGTTATTTTTTCTTAACTCGTATTCCCGCACTTTTAGACCTTTCTCCAAGATTTCCTCTGCCTTGGCCCCTCGGACTGTGCAGTGGACAGCAATTTTTTCATTTCTCCTAATGCCAAAGGATCTGCTTTAGAGAACACAGGAGTCTGGCCTGTGAGCTGCTCCGACACCTTGGCGGCCCGGGTCAGCCTGTCTCCACTCTCGCCTACACAGATGTTGAGGCAGAGCTCGTGGACGCGCAGCTCCCGCATGGGGTTCTCTTTTTCACCTTGATCTGCCATGATGGAGAACAGAAAGAGCCCACCTCCATCTTAAAGACAAAGAAGCTGAGGTACAGAGCAGGTCGTTTTATCTGTTTTGGGTTGCATTGCTAGTGTGTGAATACATGCAGAGGAGGTTATAAGAGGGAGGAGGAAATGAAATACGTTGAGCAGTGACTTTAAAGAAAGAGCTGAAACAATAAAGTAGCACTTTTTTCTTTCTCATTGGATTTAATTTTATTGATTCATTTACCAAAAGTTAATATACACCCCAAATTTAATACTACTTACAAAGTTGGGGTGTTTTTTGTTTTGTTTTTTTAAGGGTGTGTGTGTGTGTGTGTGTGTGTGTGTGTGTGTGTGCGCGCGCGCGCACACACGCACATGTTTGCTGTTGACTTTGATCCAACTGGTACAGGAGGAGATTGCCCCTCTTTCTCCAGCTGGGCATCAGGTGGATTCGAACCGCATGCCTTCAGGATTACAGCGCAGCTTCTTGACACTAGGCCACCAGAGCTCCCTTACTTATAAAGTTTTGCAAAGCATTTTTTCATTAATGTTCACAAGATAGCATATTGGGTTTTTATTTTTCCTTAAACTATAAAAAGAATTTAGAACTAACCATAGTGATAACTTGACTGTATGTGTCATAGTAGACAGATAGGGGAGCTCTGGTGGCTAGTAGGTAAAGAGTTGCACTACCAACCCAAAACCAAGTAGTTCAGATCTGACTGCCCTGCAAGAGAAAGATGATTCACATGTGATTCACAGCCTCTGGAGGGTCAGTTATGATTCGGTTCCAGGTAGACGTCATATAGCAGACAAGTCAGTGTTTTTCTTCTGAGTCCCATGGGGAACACAATTCCTCATATAGACAGGCATTTTTACCCTCACCCTCAGATAGT